GGCACTGGGCCCACTCTGTGGAGCATTCACTGGTTGCTGTGTGGGCTGTGGGTGACCCCTACTGGCCTTTCTCTGTAAGCACTGCTGGGGCGAAGGGGTGGGGTTTAAACAGAGGGGAGAGACAAAGGGAGGGAGGCGGAGACGGACACCTGGCTGGGGGCAGGCTGGGAGCTGGGCAAACATGAAGAGACGGGACTAAATCGAGTACCGGGGGACCAGGCGCCTGTGTACCCCTGCCCCAAGGGGTCTGAGGCTGCCTGCCCCTTACTCCGATGTCCACATCGAACCCGGGCCGGGCCGTATCTCTGAGAAGCAATAACTCCTCTCTATTCTACTGGCTGGCGGAGTCACATCTGGCTGTGGATGGGGGTGCAGGGTCGGGGGGCCCCCGACGCGCCGTCACAGCAGGGCATGCCCCGGAGCAGGGGCAGAAGGGAGAGGGGTGGGTCTGGATGAGAAGTGGGTGGGATGGTCCCAGCTACGCCCCTGGTGGAGAGCAGTAGCTGTTGAGACTGCACACGGAGACTTAAGAATGGCTGCACTAGGTCAGACCAAAGGTCCATCCAGCCCACAGTGGCCAGTGCCAGACACTCCAGAGGGAGTGAACAGAACAGGGAATCATCCAGTAATCCCTCCCTTGTCACCCATTCCCAGCCTCTGACAAACAGAGGCCAGGGACATGATTCCTGCCCAGCCTGGCTAATAAACTAGCCAAGAGTGTGAGGCCGGAAGTCTAGAATACCACGAAACTGAACCTGCTAGGAGAATTATAGCTAGAATGTGATCAAACACTGGGCCCACCCTCCCTAAAGTGCCATGTGCGATGACATGCCCACAAGGGGTCCCCTGCCTTGTGTCTCAGTAGAAAGTTTATGTCTTTGTTAACCCTTCCCATGTATGGACAATCAATTTCTCTGCTTCACATCCTCCTCAGTGCCACTACTAGGGTTGCCAGGTGTCCAGTATTTGCGCTTTTTTCCAGTAAAAAAAAATCAGAGAATACCGGACATGTGTAATGTCCGGTATTCTCTGATTTTTCCGGCTGTGCACCGGATGGAAGCCTAGCGTGGGCTGGGGGAGCAGCTGGAAGGCGGGGCCACTATTGGCGCTAGGAGCCTGTGATTGCACAGAAGGCTGGTGGGGCCCAGCCACTCTCCCTGCCCCCGCCAGGCTTCTGAGCAATCACAGGCTCCCAGCGCCGATAGCGGCCCTGCCTCCCAGCCTGGGAGTCCCAGCTGGGAGGCGAGGTTGCGATCGCTGCTCTGGGTGCCCCAGAACGGGGAGGGGCTTATTATCCCATGTTCCTTTTTTTTTTTTTTACTTGGCCAAAAAATACCACGTGTCCGGTATTTCTTGGGAGACCATCTGGCAACCCTGGCCATTACCTGTTACCTACCAAGCTCTGGAAGCCTGGCTGGTAGCTGCAGAGAGAAGAAAGCAATCTAACGGTGTGTTTCCCTAGGCTCCCAGTCCCCCCAAAGAAAGAAATCCTGCCATTGAGACCAGCAGCTCAGCCCCAACAATGGAAACAATAATGAAAGCGTTCATGTGGACGGGGCTCCCGGTGGCTTGTGGTGATTCAAACACCGACCTCTTTCTCTGTGCTCAGAGCAGGCCCCAGGTGTTTCTAAAAACACAATGCATCGTCTAAGTGGACGATATCCCATTTAGTTTATCAATGACCATTTATTTGCAATGTCTAAGGAATAATCTCGTCTAATCTGGAGGAAATTGTATTGGCTAGTCTGACATTTCTCAGGAGGGTGACGACAAGGGTTGCCAGATGGTTTAACCAGAAATAATGAACACTTCCCACCCACTCACCTCCAAAAAAAGGACCTCAAGAGTTGTTAAGAAAATAAAAAAACCAGCGTGGCTGTTTAACCCTTTAAGAAACACTTTTGAGGCTTTTTGACCCTAACAGGTTGCCGGCGGCTGTTCACCATCTTGTCCCCCTGCTCTGGGCCGGACAGGTCCCCTGTGGAATCAGGTAAGCACCCAGGATTTTTGCCTCCTGGCTGGGAAAAAATCAGAAAATACCGGACATTTTAGGTGTCCAGTATTTTCTGAATTTTTTTTTACCAGACAGGAGGTGAAAATACGGGCTGTCCGGGTTAATACCGGACACCTGGCAACCCTAGTGACCCATGCACAAGGCTGCCAGATTCCGCTGTTTTTTGTCTGTGTAGTTTTTTTCCCACCAGTATTCCAAAAGGGATACACTCTTAAAGCAAAGGCAGGGGAAGTGCTGGTTGCGCACAACATTGTGAGAGCCGTGCGCTCCCTCGGCAGCCAGTCAGCGCCGCTACAGTTCAATCGGCGCACTCACAAATTCTAAGTACGCAAGCTCAGTGAGCAAAACGACCGGATCTGGGAGACCCCCTTGGTTACCACAATCTTGCAGCCCACTGAGATGAAGAACACCAGCCATGCGGCCGACCCACTAGCTTAGGTTGCCTCTCAGTGTTCTAGGGTGTTTGCATATACTGCAACAAAGGGTAGGAATAAATGGTCAGTTTTCAGAGTGGGGTCCCCCAAGGGTCTATCCTGGGACCAATCCTACTCAGCTTATATATAAATGATCTGGAGAAAGGGGTAAACAGTGAGGTGGTAACATTTGCAGATGATACTAAACTGCTGAAAGACAGTTGAGACCAAAGCAGACTGTGAAGAGCTAAAGATCTCACCAAACTAAGTGATTGGGCAACAAAATGGCAAATGAAATGTAATGCTGATAAACGTAAAGTAATGTACATTGGAAAACATAATCCCAACTATATATGCAATATGATGGGGACTCATTTAGCTACAACTACTCAAGAGAAAGATCTTGGAGTTATTGTGAAGAGTTCTCTGAAAACGTCCATTCAGTGCACAGCAGCAGTGAAAAAAGCAAACAGAATGTTAGGAATCATTAAAAAAGGGGATAGAGAATAAGTCAGAGAACATCTTACTGCCTCTATATAAATCCACGGTACGCCCACATCTTGAATACTGCGTACAGATGTGGTCACCTCATTTAAAAAAAGTTATATTGGCATTGGAAAAGGTTCAAAAAAGGGCAACAAAAATGATGAGGGGTTTGGAACAGGTCCCATATTAGGAGAGATTAAAAAGACTTTTCACCTTAGAAAAGAGGAGACTAAGGGGGGATATGATAGAGGTCTATAAAATCATGACTTGCATGGAAAAAGAGGGATCATGTGATGATTCTCTGTTGGGTTCACTCTCCTGGGGCATCTGGCATTGGCCACTGTGGGCAGACAGGACACTGGGCTAGATGGACCTTTGGTCTGACCCGGTATGGCCATTCTTACGATTCAAACTGGATTTTTGCAGAGATTTGGACAACGAGAGAGCTTTCAGTATAAAAGCTGAGCTTGAACTGATAGAGGGCTTCCTTTTGATTGGACAAACAGAAAGGATCCACTTGTGGAAGGTCTGGAGGGCCCTGAGCTCACATAAGGATGCTGGATGAACTCTGGTAAGCTTTTAGCATGCAGTGAGGGGATGTACCAACCCTGCCATGGGGCTGCAGGGGTTAAGCCTGGCCACTTGGCTGAGAAGCCCCGCCCCGAAAGCGCTGCTGGGCATGCTCCAGCTGGAAGCCAGCTATAAAGGCCTGTGGAGCAGTTCAGTCTGGGCTGACAGCTGGCAAGAAAGGAGGTGCTACTGGAGCTCCTGAAGGAGAAGCGCCAGGGTACCCCTATGTAGTCGCCAGTCAGCAGGGAACCGCAGCAGAAGCTGCTGGGATGGAGGAAAGAGATGGAGCGGACAACGCTGGGGAGACGGACAGGAAGTAGCCCAGGGTGGGGAGTTGTATCCTGGGTGCTCAGTGTGTTTCGGCGGGTGACAGCTGGACACCAGGGATCTGACTGAGCATGTCAGGGAGTAGCCTACAGAGCGGAGCGCGGAAATGTCGCTACCTTGATCTGTGACGCTAATAAAGTTAGTTTATATTCAGGGTTGTGAAAAAAACCAGCCATTTTTGTTACAGATATAAAAGAAAACTCCAAATGGCCTGACCAGAAGATCTTCCACCTAACTATAATTCATTATTGACATCTTGGGGATCTCATGAAGTTAATTTTGGAAGCTTCAGGGGGTAGCCGAGTTAGTCTGCACAGGATAAACTTAAAAAACAACCAATTTTGTTCTTCAGAAATGCAAATCCAGGGATTAATTACCTGTGTGAGCATCTAGCAGCCAGGCGAATGCCTTCCGGCTTGCAAAACTTACCTTCTGGGCACGGTGATAAAGACGACGTGTATGAGGACACTAAAGCTGTCTGCTTTCCATCTTACAAACATAAATGGAAGGAAGAACCTGAACAAAGACCTAGATGCTACTCAAGTAAATAATGGACAGAACAAATGCTTGGGCTGCAAGCTCAGACAGACATCAATGGGAAAAGTGTAAATCAGGAACAGAAAGAGCCTGACAGGGAAAGCTCCGAACAAGAGAGAGTTTTGGTCATAGAAACAGTCTGGGAAAAGCAGCGGCGGCGGCAATGTTAGTCGTTTTCTTCTGATATGTGAGGCACGGAAAAATCAATATTTTAAATGGGGTGACTCTAAATGCTATTGAACAAGGAGCAATATAAAAAGCCCTCCTGGTTCCCTGGAGCCTCATCTCGGGTTTTTCTCGGCCTCTTTATAGTCCTGTCTATATTGGAGAGATGTTCCAAACATTTCCCAACATAGCTGACAATGGTTCAGCTCCACTGAGGTTACCAGTTTTAGGAGCCTTAGGATCACGCCCACCAACGGGGGACAAGGAGACGCCCCCGGGGCACAGTGATTCAAAAGAGCTTAGGGCTCCTGGGCCTGCGTCCTTTAAATCGCCACTGGAGTCTTGCGGGGCTCGCTCTGGGTGGCTCTAAGTTAGCAAGTTTTTCCTAATGCCCAACCTAAACCTTCCTTGCTGCAATTTAAGCCCATTGCTACTTGTCCTGTCGTCAGAGGTCAAGGAGAACAATTTCTCCCTCCTCCCTGAAATACTCCTTTAGGTACTTGAAAGCTGCTATGATGTCCCTCTCGGTCTTCTTTTTTCCAAAATAAACAAACCCAGTTCTTTCAGCCTTCCTTCATAGCTCATGTTCTCTAGACCTTTCATCATTTTTGTTGCTCTTCTCTGGACCGTCACCAATTTCTCCACATCTTTCTTGAAATGGGAGTATTGTGCCTAGAATTGGACACAATACTCCAACTCAGGCCTAATCAGTGCAGAGTAGAGTGAAAGAATGACTTCTCGGGTCTTGCTCACAACACTTATATTAATGCCTCGCAGAATCATGTTGGCTTTTTTTTGCAACAATGTTGCACTGTTGGCTCATATTTAGCTTATGGTCCACTATGACCCCTATATCCCTTTTTGCCGTACTCCTTCGTAGACAGTCACTTCCCATTTTGTATGTGTGTAGTGGATTGTTCCTTCCTAAGTGGAGCATTTTGCATTTGTCTTTCTTAAACTTCATCTTATTTACCTCAATCCATGTCTCCATTTTATCCAGATTATTTTGAATTATGACTCTATCCTCCAAAACACTTGCAACCCCTTCCAGTTTGGTATAATCTGCAAACTTAATGAGCATATTCTCCATGCTGTCATCTAAATTGTTGATGAAGATATTGAACAGAACCCGTCCCAAAACAGACCCCTGTGGAGCCCCACTTGTTACACCCTTCCAGCATGACTGTGAACCTACTGGGTCAGACCAAAGGCAGCCCTACTGGGTCAGACCAAAGGCCCATCTATCCCATAGTGCTGTTGTAGCGCTAACTTCTGGGAGGGTTTTCCAAGGTAAGAACATCTCTGTGCATCCGTGAAGCACACAGTCAACCTGTGGAACTCCTTGCCAGAGAATGTTGTGAAGGCTACAACTTTAACAGGGTTCAAAAAAAGAGGTAGACAAGTTCCTGAGGTTAGATCCATCAATGGTTATTAGCCAGCATGGGTAGGAATGGTGTCCCTAGCTTCTGTTTGTCTGGAAATGGATGATAGGAGAAGGATCGCATGATGATTACCTGTTGTGTTCCCTCCCTCTGGGGCATCAGTGGACAGGACAATGGGATAGATGGGCCTTTGGTCTGACCCAGTAGGGCTGTTCTTATGTTCTTAGGAAGAAAATGGCTAGAGAGAACTTAAACTACTGAAGGTGAAACCAAGCATCTATTTTTAGAAGATGGGGGAAGGGGAGTTATCCGAAGAGATCATCTGACCTGCTTCAGATTCCCCCCCTCGCTGTTCGTCACAGTTTCCTGTTTCCCCATCATATCAAATGATTGATTGGGGGAAAGCCTTGAAGCCCATCTTTTCTCCTCCCTGACTTACAACACTTCCAAGCGACCTGCATAAATTGCTTCCGTAATAGCATTACATACCAGAAATCACCCTGATCACAGACAGAGATGGGCAGCAGAAACTTGCACAGCACTGACTTTCCATCTCCACCACCCAAGGCAGCTGCACCCAATTTTTTAACAAGGCCACTTTGACAGTGGCCAGTGGGGAAAGTATGGATCCCTTTTCTCATCTTTAAATGCTCTTTCATCTTGACTGCAGCAGTTTAACACCAGTGAGATGAGTGAAAACCATGAAATCTCTCAGGATACCAGTATCTGTATCCTCTTCACTGATTTGTCCTTGTTGTTGGAAAAAAAATCGTCATCATGGACTGCGACTGAAACTCAACTTCCCAAGGGTAACTGACTCAAGTGATGATAAATTGGCCTCGGGTCCCATGAGCTGTGATGAGAATAACTAGAGCAAACAGTGTTCATAGATGACATTTACAGTTCAGTAGACATGTCTTCGGCTGTTTTCATTTCTAATGCCCCCTTTCCCTCCACAGAAGCTAGACTCTGCTTTTGACATCAGATTTTGTACTGGTCTTCTCATCCTCTTTGAAGAGAGACAAATAATCCTTCACAGACTCTATATGAATCAGTACAGTTAAACCCCTGGTAGATCATACAAGTTACATGGCAAATGTAAAGAAGCAGCTGACAAATGCTGTAATCCCTTTCCCTGGTCATTCTGATCTCCCAGTACTGTAGAATCCTTCAAAAACAGCAGAAAAAGCCACCTGCAAGTTTTCAAACAAAAACCACACCCCCAGCTCTGAGATGGACAACGGAATTTAAAAGACTCAGTTGAAAAGGCTATTTTGTTTTGTGTTGTTTTAGAAAGGTTTTAGACTCTATCTAAATCTTATAATCAAACTGCCACCGTCAATAAAAACACACTCTGGCCAAAATAAAAGATTATACTGTCTGATAAAGACAGCGAAATGTATAGGAGCCCCTTACCAACTATGGACATAAAGGCTAAGTTTACACTGCCTATTTTTTCAGCAGAAGATATGCAAATTGCGCTCTCATTTGCATATCTTCTGCTGATCCTTTTTGCAAAAGAGGTTTTGCCGCTAAAAAGCCCCGTGTAGACGGGGCCATTTGTCGGAAAAAAACCTTTTTTGCAAGATCCTGTAAACCTCGATTTTTGAGGGAGAGACAGTCTGGTAACTCCTATATGGACCTAACCAGATTGTCTCCACACACTGGTCCATCTAGACCAGTCTCCAAGGGTGCATCTACACTGCACCCTTAGTGCGAAATAAGCTGCGCAATTTGAGCTACGCAAATTGTGTAGCTTATTTTGAGTGTATTTCGAAATAGCTTATTTTGTAATTAAAAAACTGCTATTGTGACATGTCCCTTAATCCTCGTGGAATGAGGTTTACAGGGACGTCAGAACATCGTGCCCGTTATTTCGAAAGATATTTCGAAGTAATGGGTGTGCTGTCAAGATGTGGGATAGCTATTTCAGGATACTGGAAGTATCCTGAAATAACGCCGCAGTGTAGATGTATCCTAACAGAGGACTGTACCAATAGCTCCAGGAGACTAAGAAGTCTAAGAAATCCTTCAGAAGACAACTATAGATCAGCCTGCCTGTTGGAAAGGCTGCTACTTATCCCCCATTAATTAGAGGTTAATTTAAGCTCTGAAACATAGCCTTTCAAATCTTGCTGTTCCAACCCTGGCTGCTTTTGTTATCCATATAAATATACAATCTGACTGTAAATCCTAATAATTTCTGGGGTGTATGTGAAGGCAAATAGAGGGAGGAATACTTTCTCCTTTCCCCGACTGGGGACCTGTTGGAAGTTTACAAAAACTGGGAATCATTCCAGTATGCTTTTTAAGATGTGCAGCGATTTATTTCTGCTCCTCCAGCCCTCTGGTAGTTTCAGGAGTGGAAAGAGAAGTTGGTGGCACTGGAAACGGCAATAAAAGTGCCTGATCTGCATGGCATGTGTCTAAGGACATGCAGGTTGCAGGATGTTTAAACTACCAGATTCCTCTACTCTGTACGTTAGGAAGTGCGAGGGAAAGTCACACACGCATGGGGGAGCTTAGAAGATCCGCATCTTATTAATGCCCCTATCCTACTCATTCTCTAGCTGTGGCGCCAGGAACTCCTGGAAAGTTACCCACCATGAAACAGCAAATACATGGTGCTTGAGCGCCCAAAACAAGATGGCTTGTGAGGATGCACTGCTGCCTATTGATCACTGGTGCCGTGACAGTGGTGTAAGTTGCAACAGCACAGCTCTCTGGTGAGTAAGCACCAAAGGAAAGGTGTTATTCTGATTAATCACTCCTGCAAAAAACCAGCTGGGGACTCTGCATGCTGAGGCACTAGGAGTTCTTATCCAGGCTGATTCCCGACAGTCTTCCCTATCTGCTGATGAGCAGTATGTTCCAACTGCTCCTAACCAATTGCTCCTAACCAATCTTTTTCCTTACTCCCACTGTCCTTTATGCTTTGCGCTTTCCTTCCCTCCCCAGTTCCTCCATCATTCCTCCCTTCAGTGTCCATAATCCTTTCTTTCATCCTTCCGATCCACCTAAGTAAACATCCATTAGTGGCCGATACTGTAAGCAAGGGAAGGCACAGCCTTTCCAAAACTGCCTACACGCCTAGCCGCACAACAGCCTGGCTCCCTGGCCATTGGCAACCCTGGCCCTCCAGGTGGCCAAGAAGGATCGAGCTGGGGTGGGCGGGGCTTGGATCCAGGGGTGTGGCCTTGGATGGAAGGGGTGGGACTGGGGCTCGTTTTCCCCAGCTGGGCCTTCACCCCCCACCCCTGAGAGCACCACTTACTGAATAAGTGAATAAACGAATCAAAACCAAAAGTCCCCAGCCAAACGGGGGGTGAGGAGAGCCAGGAACTAACAGACCATCCCATTGTTCACTGTCCTTGTCTGTTACATGCCTCTTCTCCTTCTGTCTGCTTAAATTTCAACCTCTTCGGAGCAGGGAATTCCTCTTAGGGATTTGTATACAGCCCAACACAATGGCCTCCAGGCTTGTTGGAGCCAGTAGGGGCAATCACAACACAAAATAATACAACATAATATGCTATTCATTCTCTCAGTGTACCACTGGCTCCAAACTGCAGCACAGGTTTTATGCTGGTGTGACACCCCTGATTTCAATGGAGTTACATAGGCATGTAAATGCAGACTCGGGGCTCAGGTGTGCATGATGCAAATGGCTTTTCCTCTTTGGAGTACTTACTCGAGGGCAGGCCACCTTAGCCTTTAAAACCAGATGAAAATCATGGACATTGACACAGATTCCCAAAGGTAATTGGGCTCCTAAATTTCCATTGATTTCAGTGGAAGTTGGGCAGCCATATACTACCTTTCTGAATCTCAGTCATTCAAACTAACTAGGCCACGCCTGCTCTGTCAAGCAGTCAGTTATTCTTAAACAGGACTTTCTGGGATTCTCACCGTGTATTCATTCCCAGGAGGCTCTTACATATGGTTGACTGTTTCTAAGTTTCCTACATCATTTAGTTTAGCTTTTTTTTATGTGTTCTCTGCAAGTAAAAAAAAGAAGAAGCGGGAAGGATGATTGTTTCAGGCAAAGGGGCTGAGATGTGTGTGAATGAAAAGATCAAGTGCATTGAGACATTCTGCACAAGTGTACAGTTGTATGGTAGAAGGCCAAGGGCACTCTCTAGGTCTTAAAGATTGTAATTAAATTGCCCACTGCAACACTAACTAGAATTAGTATTCATGGAAGTGTTTAGGCAGTGTCTGCACATACCAGTTTAACTGAAAGTTGAATTTTAAATGTATTTAGTTAAACCAACATAAACCCTTTTGTGCATATTATTAAGGGCATAGACAAATTTCTTACTGATATTATCTAAACAGGTTCAAGACACTTTTAAACTGTGTTAAGAATGCCAATAAGATTTCGCATCAGTTAAACTTCATGGATTTGCGAACACATCTTTAGTTAAACTAGTCCATGTTTGTGCATAGACAAGTCCTTGGAATAACGGCACAAAGAATTAGTTAGATGTCCCTGATGCAGAATGCTGAACTTTGGTAATGCACAACATAGGAAAGATTACTGGGAACCAAACTGTTTAACATTTGGTCTATTTGTCTTCAAAATATATTCTCTCATTCATCATGTTTCTCTAACAATCCTTATGGCACTCTTATGAAGATGCTATCAAAGCGTGATAATATATTTTATGGAATCAAGGAGCTTTACAAGAATGAAGACAAAATCCCTGCCCCAAACATCTTATTCACTAAACATAACATTTAATTCTTACTGAATAAAACTGCAAATTGTCTAATAATCACTATATGCAGTGTCACTGTAGCCATGTGCCTCCCAGGATACTAAAGACATAAGAGATGAGGTAATATCTTTTATTGGACCAATTTCTTTTGAGGGAGACAAGCTTTTGGGCTTACATAGAGCTTTTTTTCAGGCCTGGAAAATTTAAGAGTATCACATATAAGGTGAAACAGATTGTTAAGCATCTGTTCCGACTTACACTCTGAGTAAATGTCCCAAACCAAAAGAGCTCTGTGTAACCCTGAAAGCTTGGCTCTCTAATCAAAGAAGTTGGTCCAGATAAAGCTATTCTTGCCTACCGTGTCTTTAATATTCTGGGACCCACATGGCTCCAGTGACACTGTGCACAATGATTATTAAATAGTTTGCAACTGTATACATCCAGAATTAAACATTATGTTTAATCAATAAGCCATTTGGGGCAAGGACTTTATCTCCATCCGTGTTGTAAAGCTCCCGGTACTCCGTTGGCACCAAACCAGCACTAATTTAAAATAAGGGCCCCACATCAGTGAAAATTTCACTCTGTAAATATTTAACTTGCTTCAAAGGCAGAGCTCCTCACTTTTAATTTGCTGTGGTTTTAATAATAATTGGGGACTTCCTTAGTGATGTTGCAATAGCATACCAATTACCAGTGCTGGGACTACTAGCATGCAGCACCCCACATGCCACAGCGCCTGGCCCAGGTTGTAAATATGACGAGACACAGCGTGTGCTGACTATAATAAGTGACGTGCGTGTGCATGGCAGAGTTTTATATAACAGCTGCGAACGAAAAGGAAATGCAGCAACCATTTTTTAACCGTGAGGCCTCATTCAAGAGTGGCCTAAAGGCAGAGATGGAGATTTAGAAGAAAGGGGGGAGCAGGTTCCCTTCCTGAGAGAAACCCATATCACCTGTTTTCACCCCACCTCCCGTCATTTGCTATGTGGGCAAGTTCCATGGCCTTAAATAATGGCTCACGTTACTTTTCTATTTAAAATGCTGTTCCTTAGAAAAGTCAGGAGAAGCATTTTTGTTGGTGCCTGTTACTCAGCATATGGTACAATGGGCACCGGACGATAACACTGAGCAGCTTCTTACAACTTAATATGTCCCTGTCCCCAGGCAGGGCCCCCCTTCCCAGCTCCA